CGTCAATGTTCAGTTCCTTACTTATAAAAGGAATATAAATTCTAGTATATGGTCTTATCAGCTTGATTAGAACCTGAAAAAAAATGATATCCATTAATAAAATATCACTATGTTGTATAAATAAGACATATCAATTTGTTTTATTTCAAATACTTTAGTAAATTATAAAATAAAAACTTTATTACAGTAATATTAGTATTAATGTAAGCTGAAAATGTAAACGAAAATGTAAAAAGATATACCTGTGTACGTATGTTACGTAATAAATCCTCAATATGTTCTCTAATAAAGGGATCATCCATGATATTGTTTCTATTTTGTTTTAGAATTAATTCAAACTGATTAATATCATTATTCTGGTAACTATTAACTAAATTTGTCATTGCTAAAATTTCAGGGTCATTCTTGTATGGTTTTGCCTCTTGTGAATCAAATGGATTTATACCAGATTTCATTAACCTAAAATGATATTACAGATATATACTAATTGTATAAATATAATGCAGGTGATAATCATAATAATGAAAAATAAATAATCATACTTACATATTAGCCAAAACTAAGTACTTTAAACACGTTGTACGTCTTGGTGAGCCAGATTCATCATAATTTTTAAAGGCTTCGAAAAAATCGGTATGAGCTCTTTCAAATTCACCTTCTCTTAAATGCATCTTACCCCCACATTCTGAAAAAATAGCATTTTGTCACTTTGCTTTTCTAAGTATACATGTATGATCCAAAAGTTGTTGGGACAATATATAACAGTATAAATATTGTTTCTAGAAAACATTCAAATTATTACCTCTGATAACACCCATAATTAATGGATGAGGAATAGCACTTTTAATATGAAGACTCTGTTCATAAAGTGTTTTTAATTTCTTATTATTTTTTTGTGCTGTATACATCTGTATTTCTAAGGCATAAATTTCTAATAATTGTGTTCCTTTTTTCAGATCATCTTCTCCATCATCAGTCTAAAATATATATAAGTTAAATAAATAATATATACATAAATATATTCAATGTTACTTATATACACACCTGACAACTTTGATGAAGTTGTTTCAGTATTTTCGCCAATTTATTAAAATCTGAACGGTCGTAATATAACTTCCCCAATTTTGTATTTGTTTTAAACCATAACCTATCATTCTTTGCATCTTTTAAGGCGTCTAATGTGGTTTCATAGAAATCTTGCAGTAACTCCATCTTAGAGAAAATATGTTACTTTTTTAAATGTGTGTGTGTGTGTGTGTGTGTGTAGACTTTTTAAATGTAGAATTTTTTTGTATATAAAAGATTAATGAAGGAAAAACCAATTCATTGAAATACTAAATATATAACATACTTGTTTATTAAATATACTCACATTCTTTGATGTACTAATGTAGTCCAATATAGAATTTATTGACTTTTCTGAGTGATTTCTAGTAACTGCACTTTTAATGTATGTTAACAATTGCTTATACCTTGACATCATTTCTTTATAATTGGACTAAAAAGAAAATATATATTTCATTTTTATATACAACAAAAGCTACAAATATTACTGATATATCTTCTCTACCAGTTTAAAATTAATTTTGATCATCTGTTTTAAAGCCTTAAAACCCCATTCTCCCTTTTCACCACCTTCCAGATCCAGTACTTTCTGAAAACTTTGTAAAGCAGCTTTAGGATCATCTTCCTTAAGTGCTTTACTATTATAATATTGATTTTCTAAATCAACGTCTGGTTCAGAGTTGGAGTCTTCAGAATACTCCTAAAACAAATTAGCGATTAGGGATGTAGAGCCAGTAGGAATGCATAACACATATGCATTCCATTTCATGCATGATATGTATGATGCATCACTTATCCTTGTTCACCGAATATTAAACAAGGATAAAAGATATATTATACACATCATGCGTGAAACGGAATGCATCTGTGTTGTGCATTGCTAATAATACTTATTGCACCCAATAAGTATTATTAATGTTTAATTCAAGTTGCTAACATAACCTAACCCGACGAAACATTGGAAATGTTTGCGCAAAAATATAACGGAAGAATTGTCGAACAGTGAGCCCATTCATCAAACATGATCTCTCGTGGTACCTCTCGAGCTATTTTTAATGATTTTTAAATACCGTACGTGAGAGCTCTTGAAATTGTAACCTCGCTGTGAGCCGGAAAAAACGTTCTGCGAAATAAAGATTCTGTGGATCTCCGCAGAGAAACTTACCAGTCCATAATCCTCCTCTTCCTCACACATGAAATCGTCCTCACCATCTGACATTTCGTGAACTCCTCTCGACCAGGGTTAACACAGATTTTACGCAATTTTCTGTAATAATGACAATAATGTTACGAAGAATACTACAACGTATTTTGAAATCCAACTCCGACAGCGCATTAAGTTAGGTTCCTCAAGGTACTTTTTCATGGGCGTCAGTTGACACGCGTCAAGGTGTTTTTTCATGTCGACGCTCGACGCTCATTTTCGGCGTCAAATTAAGTCACGTGATAGAAATTGACGAATATCAGTACCGGGATTCTCTAACTTCCTATCGACGATTGTTCCTATCGTTAATTATCAACTTATTATCACTTGCGCTATCAACGATGTCGATATGGCGTGATTCTGTAACTTTACTTTAACGATATTTATCGATGCAAAATCATTAAGCCCGATGTCCATGATGCTATAAATCAGTCCGAGATCTCGGACAGAGAAAAAATTAACAAATCACATTTGAACAATTTGATCACATGACCATTGCTATTGGTCAATTCCTTCTTCATCCGAGGACTGATTTCTAGCATCGTGGACACAAGGGTTTTAAGCGGGGTCTACAATAGAAGTCGTAGCAGTCGTAGAGTCTTAAATCGTAGAAATTTAACCAATCACAGTAGAATATGAGAAGAATAATCGACTATGATTGGTCAATTTTCTACGACTTAAGACCCTACGACTGCTACGACTTCTATTGTAGACCTCGCATTACAGACGAATCGACAAAACTCGGTAATGATTTGATAAATTTGGGAGAGCTCCAATTGCACACATCGCATATTGCACACATGTATCGCTGATTGGCCAATTTAAAAATAAAATAATCTCATTGGCAAAACAGTAAAAAATTACTAGGCACCAGTTGATATGAGTGGTGTGTACA